TTAGAAACAAACATCACTTCTTTAAAGCCGCATTATTCCTCGATTCAGTATAATTCTGGGAACTCTATTAAAACTCAACCTACATCAATACCAATGCTTGTATCTACCCCTAAGTCCTGCATATTGGCTATCTCCTAGGTTTCAGGATTTTGAGATAACATCACCAATTATGATAAGCAATAGTTCAAAATAAAAAAAAAATACACACAACCTGGATAACAGAAAAGCTAGACTAAAATGAAAATGTTTGGGGTCACCAAAGCCAATAGGCAGGCATAACAAAGGTGTGCTATCCCACAAAACAGGTATTTTAAAATATATTCCTAAGGCTTTATTGAGGTTATCATTTGATACTCATGTGTTTCCATATAGAAAAACACAAAGTTAAGTCCTATATCCCTAACTCCTTCGTTTCTTCTGCAGCTCACAAGCAGAGAGTTCCCAGAGCCAGAATTTAAAGTTAACATTCACCTGAAAGGCATGGAAACATTCACCCACATCTTTTAGAGGTCCTTATTTTATCAGTTTCTAAGTTCAGCCTGCCTCATTCACAAAGAAAATATATGGCAATCCACAAAGAAGAGATCATTCCAACCAGGGAAGCTAGCAGCACGCTGCACATGGCAGGAAAGATGAGGGAGGTGATGAGGGAATCCACCCAATAGTATTCATTCTTCTATTTCAAACTCTCCAGACACATTAAATTTAAGTGCTGGAGATGGGTTTTGAGAGATGGGGCATGCAACCTCTCTGATCTGCTTTCAGAATACTTCAGGTACCAAGAAGAGGTAGCAGGCTCCTAACTAGCTTAAGGTATTACTTCATTCTAGCATCAGGGCATGTTTCTACTTGCCCAAGGGATCTCTTTACAATGAACATGGTTTAAAAATAAATTTGGGCACAAAATAGGAAAACGATCAATCATATATACAAATAAAATGTGTCTATCACAAAATTTACAGAATGTAAGAAAAAGTGTTCTTGTTTCTTTTCTTACAAAGACTAGATTAATAAATGAAAGCAGCATTTTCACCTATGAAACTGAAGCACAGAGAAAGCTGAGGAAATTCACCTCTTTTATTAAAATTCTTCTAAAGTTCCATCCCACATAGAAGTTCCATCTAGTGTCTCATTGAGATTTTCACAAAATATATAGAAAACTGCTCGTGTATTTAAATAACTTGAAACCACACCCCAACACCTCTTTCAGTTTTAAATGACCCAATTTGAGGATTCCTCATGGTAGGAAATATGTTCTAACTGTGTAAGTTAATTACACAAAGAAAATATTTTTCCTCTAAAAATACCTATTATTCTATTAAAATATCATTTCAGTTCAAATAGAAAATCACTTCACTCAGATAATAAACTTGAGACTAAAGAATAAATCAAACGCAGAGGTAATATGAGAGAGAAACTGTCTGAATTTTCTTAATCAAACCTCCTCAAGTGGCTTTTATGCAGAGATTGGCTGAGAACACTACAGATTGTTGGCCAGTGTAAATTTGTGGCCCATGTAGTGTTTTAAAATGGTTAATGTGAAACTCCAGCTGTTAAATTTGCTTTAGAGGCAAACATAACACTGTCAGAATTCACCACAGACTCTTTATGTATGTGTAGAAGGCACCTGATATGATTCAGTTGGGGTCTATGCATTCCCTTGTGTTCAGTTCATGAGAGACATATCTTCATAGCTCTCAGCTTCTAATGGCTGTACCAGATTCCCATTACTCTTCCCCACCTACAACACCTTTGTAAAACTCAGCAGTGGGTAGCTCTGCTAGCTTGAGTCTTAGTACCCTCGTCTGAGTCAAAACTGTTTCAAGAGCTTTTGGTGAATGAACAAAAATTATGACTCCTGCCTCTGCAAGTCTAGAAATATAAAAATTCCACTGCCCATCAAGAGCCCAATCACTCCACTCCTTGTCACTGAGAGGGTGAATGCAGATCACATCATTCGCAACCACTTTAGAAAAATAACCCATGTAATGATCTATATCACATGGCCATCACATCCTGATTTCATGCATTTTCTTTCAAATGACTCATGCTTAAAAATTAAAATAAATTACCCTCTTTTCTTGCCACCTGTCCCCCTAGCTCTGTCAGGATACTCAAAAAAGCAAAAGCCAGGGACTCAGACATGGTTAGCTACAAAATCTCCCACATTTGGGGGCTGCTTAAAGTCCTAACATAGTCATTTCATCCAAAGTTCCCAAGCCTTTAACAGCCACAGAGACTTCCAGTTAAAAGGAACAATATTGGTAGCCAAGTATTCTGATTGGAAGTTGATGGAGGTTTGGTTGGGCAAGGCTGATCTTTATCACACTCTCTTCCCCTTCTGTTCATGCTAAGAGACCCACAAGAGCACCACTGAATATGGTCTGGAAACCACAGCTATACGTCACTGTTATCTTCCCAAGTATTGACATACAACAGGACAGACAACTGGAGATTAAAAAAATAAAATAAAGCAACCACTTCTTCCCCCACAATTCACTGCTTCTGAAAATCAAACTAGCTTTGAGTGTTATATTTTAAAATTATAAAATTTTTCGGGTGAATACCTGTAGTGTATTTTCTAAGAACATTCACAGTTCTCTGCAGCGTGGGGAAAAAAAATTCTGCTTATCAGATAACCTTCTTTGGCCTTTACCTTTCTTAAAAACGTCTGCCACAAAAAACTAAAAGGGTTTCAGGTTTTGTTTTTGTATTTCTTTACCCAGAAGCTAGCTGATGGATGAGTTGTATATCCTCCAAATGCTTTTAGCATTTTGTTTCTTTTTCTCAACCATCTTATCACCCCTCTAATCATTTACTTTTGTTCTGGGTGCCATCAGCTTAAAACGGTGACTCTTTAGAATCAATAACACTAGGGATATAAAAGATAATCTTCTGATACCCAAATTCATGCTACTCTCTGAATCTTCCTATATCTCAGTATCTTAAAAGAAAAATAACAATAAAGGGTTTTGCTTTTTGGTGGGGTTTCCCATTAGGAGACCATCTCTATAAAATAGTAACACTGCAAATAAGTTAAAGGATATACTTGTCTGCCAGCTTCCTTTATCAGCTCGCTCTTCCTAGGGGTTACCTAATTTAGCACCACGCTTTGCATTTATCTTTTCACCCAGCCCCCAAACATGATTTCACATCATCATTCAGACTTAAACTCCAAAGTCTGATGACAATCCCCTAAGACAGTGGCCATCTGACTTACTTTGTTGAAATATCATTCAGACTCCAATACAAATGTTGGTAGGGACCAAATGACGCTAATTACTCATTTCTGACCACAACAGAGTATTACTTACAGAAATCAGATACCCAACCTGGCTGCTCTTCTTTCAAAGCCAAATGGAAGCTCTTCTTATAAGGTTTCATATTTTGAATGAGGGTTTTGCTAAAAGTTCTCTTTGATAGCCCTTACATTTTCAAGAACTGGAAACAGTAGAGTTCAATTAGGCAGACTGATACAAAATTGTTGATTTTGATATTTGGTATATGAAAATGGCTGGATCAGTTCCTTTCCACAAAAGCATTAAGTCAGCCCAGGTCATTTGTGACCAACAGAGGAATAATAACAAGCAAATGCAACAAGGGAAAACAGAAAAGACTTTTGGTGGTCTGATCTAAGCCACAAACTCTAGAGATTACTTTGAAAGTTTCTGTTTCCCACATTAACATACAAGGAAGTGCCTAAACTTGCTCATGCTTTCCTGAAACTCAATCTCCAAGCCATAAAAGCATTTGCCTCGTTCCTTGAAAAAGACCCTGAATCTCAGAAATGTAAAAGTATAAACTAGGGAAAACCATGGAGCATGCTAAGATTAACTACCCACCAAAAAAAAAAAAAAAACAAAAAAACAAAAAAACAACTGTTCACACTGACAACTCTTTAAGAAATAAATATAACATGAATCTTCCAAAATCTAACTGTAAACTCCCAAGAATAAAAAGCTCAATGTCCAAGTTCAAACGACAAGTGATGTCAGGATGTCAAGATAGTGAAAGTCCCCAGGAATCAGGCTGGATATTTTTAAATTCTATTAACACATGTTTGTGTTACCAGATGTTACTGGTTTCTTAAAAACAAAAATTGCCTACTATAAAGTTCTTTGTTTTGTGTTTCTACTTAGGCTAGAGTCCTCATTGCCTAAGATAAGATAGAGTCTTTCAGAGGAATTTTGCTTAAAAAAAGAGTTTGAGTCAGGAATTGAAAAGATTACCCCCAACTAAAATCTTGATTTCTAACTATTCCAGTAGAAAACTTGCAAATGGTACAATGATATTTGCATAGCTGTAAACAGTGACTCTCTAAACCTCAGAAAAATAATACATCTTCTTTGTAGTCACCAGGAGCAAGTGATACATGATGTATTTAGTAGCAATGTGCTTCCCCTGGAAGGAAAATTCCATTTTGAAGGTTCTGGAATTCAGGTTTTGTTTCCCTAGGTGAAGAGAAAACATTCTTTTAGGTAAATTGCCAGATCACATACTTAAATATGCCCTCTTAAGGAGTTTCCAAATATCATTCTGAGGGTAATTTATGTTTGCCTGGTGGTGCAGCAGGAAAAATAATGTTTCTGAATAATAAAGAGACTACAGCTTTCACTAAGATGTTTTCTACTCTTATGCAAGGAAAAGGAGAAAGCTTAGATCACTGGCAGTCATTTATATGGCATTCTGTCCAGCTAAGAAGGTGCAACTATTAATACTAACAGAAGAGGAGGCAAATTACACAGCTGTTCTAGTTCTATAGGGAAGACAGGACTAGAGGCCATGGGGCCCAGAAATCTACCCAGGGCTAGCAAACCAAGAAAATCACAATGGAAAGGGGGCATTTTGCATTTGAAATTGAAATTTACTAATGATTTAAAAAAAAGAGTACTCCCCCTAAGTCCAGGGACAGTACACAAGGCGAGTAGACCTGAGTCTTCTGTCACAGTGAGAACCTGGAGCTCTAAGACCACCTGAGAACAAGCATTTTGACCCCCAAACATTCTTACTTTCTTAAAAGATAGACCAATAGTTGAGGTGGATGAATTGGATGATGTTAAGAATTCCATCTGCCTTCTACCTTTGAGGCAGAGTTTGGACTCCCAAAGTCCCCAGTCCTAGGTCAGTTCAGGGAATAAGGAAATAAATTGAGTAGTGTCTGAGTTCATGATTCTCATCGTGTGCAAATCACACCACAGAGAGGAAGAAAATGCAAAGAAGCTAAGAGCCAAGGATATATTAATAGTTAACACCTAAGAGAAGCGCACCTCCTTATTTCCAAATTGCAGTAAGTTATATTGGTGATTGCATAGAAATGGAAAAAATAGGTACTCAGTTTAATCTGCAGAAAATTTTTCCATCAGCTTCTGGAATAATTAACACTTACCTGAAGAGATTAACAGGCACCTTTTATGGGAGTAAACAGTCCCTATCCTTTCTGAACTTATTTTCCTATGTCCATTTTCCTAATCTACCTCAAAAGCAGCTGAGCTAAATATTCACTAAATGGAAGAACTCCATACCTATAATCAAATTACAGTTTTAATTTGCTGGGCTAAGACAGGTGTTGGCAAACCATGGCCTGCGGGCCAAGTACAGCTCACTGCCTGGTTTTGTAAATAAAATTTTATTGGAACACAACCACCATGGTCATTCATTTATGTGTTATTGTTTGTGGATGCTTTCACGTTACAATAGCAGAGCTGAGTAGCTGCTACAAAGACCATATCAAACACAAAGCCAAAAATATTTACTATCTGGCCCTTTACAGAAAAAGTTTGCCAACCTTGGTCTAGGATGTCACAGTCCACATTTTGTCCACATTTTACAGAACAGAGTTATAGATCCTATGGGGTTTATAAACTGCAATCGCCTCCTCCCAACAAAAAAATGTTTGCAAAAGTATGTATTTCACGTACTATGTACGGTCCCAGCTTGCAACAGATTCCCAAAGGAAGCCAGAGTACCCCAATTAAAGCCAGAGAAAACCAAAGAGTATCTTTAGTTGTCGGCACATTTAACAGTGCTAAAACACACACATACCCCTAGACAAGAGAAACCTGGAGCTTCAACACTTAAATTCCTTTTTTCTAGGTTTGGTAGCTTCCTCTTCCTAGATTTTACTTAGGCATTTTTCCATCTGATTATGTAAATTTTCAGGGGCCCAATTGAAAACTGCACCTTCCACTTGAAAAGTAAAAAAAAAAAAAAAAAGTCCTGTGAAGGTGACATTTATTTGAATATCTTTTCATTTGCTAATTCAATGAAAGTGGAAGATCCCTTTGATCCCTGTGAAGCAAATCCCACTTCCAGCCATAGACAGACGTTAAGGAGGCAAAATCCCAGCACAATAGACATTTAATTCGTTTTACTAGATCTGACTACGGCTCTAAGGAATTTTATGAATATACAAATCTTACCTTCAAGGTCGGAGGGAGTTACATAGCCAAAACAGCACTTGGGTGAGAAATTAAGAACTAGGTATCTGTTGTAATTTCGGGCCAAAGAGAAAGTGTTTTGTCAGACACTCTTGGAAGAAACAGAGTGATTTCTCTGAGCATAGCTAATGAAGCCTGTTGGTCAACAAAGACATTTTAGTTTTAAACTATGAAATGTTAGCCCTCTCCGCCTCCTTTGAGATTATAATTCCAAAGACACTAAATCAAGTTCATGTGGAAAACTCAGGAACCCTGACAGTATTAGTACCAGCCTCCTCTAACGCTGGGATTTAGGAGTAAGTATTGCATTTTCTAGACTAGGACATTATTAGCACTGCAGGATTGATGAATAGCAAAGAAGGGTAGGACTGCAATTAAAAAGTGAATTAGCCATGGGCAAGCAATAACAATAATAACAATAACAACACAAAGAATGAAATGATATGGAGGATTGAGTGACCAAGAATTGCATTTTGAGGGTCACCAACTGTAGATAGTGCAAACTCAGCACAACATATGTCTATGATTCCCAAACTGTATCCTGAGATACCCTGAGGCCCTGCAGCAAACTCACAGGCATGGCAAAATGTTGTAAAATTTAAAGGAAACACAGCAACATCTGTAGGACATCATGCAAACTGCTACTATTAAGCTGTTTGGACCTAGTTACTTAATAGATTGAATTATTAAGTATCTATTTTGGCCAAGGGCACCATAAAAAAAAGTTACTAAGACAACTAATGGCACCACAAACAGAAAAAGTTTGGGAATCACTGGCATATACAATTTTTGTTAGGCTTGAGGGCTATACAAGAATCGTAATATACAAACAATTTTGAGTTATACCCACACATACTCATTTCCATTTCAGATGGCTTAACTAAGACAGAAGTAGGAGCTGCTTATTTAACCAATCTGTTCTGACTGTATCAGTGTGACCAAACACAGTCTTTAGAACAATGGATTATGCCTCCATATCCGGGCCTTCAATCATGGCTAATAGGTGAGTGTCATGTGTGAAATCAGTGACTATTTGATATTTTATCAACAAATATATATATATACATTTATGTAAGTTCTTTCTCTTTCAAAGTAGCCATTTTAGGAGACTGTATACTTATTCCAGGAAAAATGACTTTACTTAAAAATAATCATACATTTTCCACTTTTTTGGGGAGAAGGTCTTCATCTAAAATTATCTTCGGAGCCCATGACATGGTGTTTTACAAAGATTCAGTGATGGTAAAACTTCAGCATTAAGGGCAGATTTAACTTCTAGAAATTGTCAAACACAACTTGATGCTAAATCCGATAAACAGGCAAGTGAATCAAAGAAGACAATACCTAGTAAGGATTTTTGTAAAAAAAACAAACAAAACAACAACAAACCTAAGAAATAATTCTAAAATGATGACTATCCATATAGGGAAGGGAATGAATTCTGAAACTTTTTTTGACAGAAAAGTGGTAAAAATATTTTAGTAACATTATTTATATAAATATATAGTCTCTCAAGGTGGCTACTCTGAAGGGCAATACTCATTGATATGTACACATGTATGGTAATTGTCTTAAAAATTATTCACATTACTTTTTTGGCACACCTCTTAAATCAATAATATATATAGAGAAAGGGATATTTTTATAAATTATACTATGGATAATTATGTGACACCAAATCAAATACATTTGGGAACATGAGCATGATCACTTTTGCAGATCTATACTGATTTTATAATACATTGGTAGACATAGACAGGGCAGATATGCAGATGGTCCAAATTGGTTGAACATTAAATATTTTGAGTATCATCCCCGAATACAGATACCTTTTTCTTTATATATACATATCTGTCTGTATGTACAGGGGACACCCAACTTACAAATAGTTTATGCATCTTGACATTTTTTTTTTAAGGTGGTTGTTTGGAACTTACAACACAGCTCTCCAAAAATAAAACCATGTTCTAAAATTTAGACTTGTAAGACTGTCAAGCCAGTCTTTCTACTGTAGCACATAAGAGATATAATCACCACACAGAATATTGCTTCTATGGGGAATAGGTATTCTAAACTTCACATCTGCATGCCAGGAACATGCCTTCCCTGTTAGTGACAAAGATATCCCCATCAATGAGGACAGGGAAAGAAATGGGCACTCTGGACAGTCACTTGCTACCCTGCAAATGTTCAAGAGAAAGTGATTTTAAGTCAGTTCTCTCTTTAGAAGGTAGTAGACTAGTGTTTTCAACCCTGCTGCAAATCAGAACCACATGAGGGCTTATAAAAAAAAAATAATAATACCAATTCCCAGGCCCCGCCAATTAAATCCAAATCTATGGGGGCTGGGACATTGGCAACAACAGTGTTCGCAACTCTCAGATTATTTCAGTGTGCCCCAGGGCTGAGAATCATAGTTTATCTCCTTATCTACTTACTATGATTGTTTTGCAAGTTTAGGACTTAGGTTCACAGATTGGAGAGGGATACATGGGAGAAATGCACACTTGGTTAAGAATGTTTCGAAGTAGAAAAACAGGTAAGAGTAATCTGACCCAGACCAGAAAGATGCTCTATATATTTTACCAAAAGTTATAATGGAGTGACCCCAGATTATTTTTTTCCTACTACTTTCTCTTTTCATAAGATGTGAATAAAGCAAGACACACAGTTGTGATTTCTCTCTTGGTCTCAAAGAGAAGAACTTCCAGATTTAGGAAGGTAGGTGGGAATGACCATAATCACTAGGATGATGCTCCTTTTCTGGCTAGACAAAAATGAGGACAAAAGTAGCTTCAAAGCCGAGGAAGCTGATGTTTAACAAAACAGGTATCTCTCTCGGACCTGAATACCAAGAGGTGTATGGCAGTGTCATACTCACTTTGGGCACCTGACATAAGCAAGAGGTCAAGAACAAGGAGGGAAAAGTGCAAACAGAGAAACATACATGATTGCACTGCAAAATCTAAAAGGGGGCGGAAGAGAGGATTTAAGGAGCAATCTTCTCCATATCCATGAACTTGAGGCAAGGAAAGCAATAAAGTGTGTTCTTTCTTTCTTTCTTCATTTTTTAAGCAAAAGCCTCTGTTCTTACATTCAAAGAGTAGCCTTGTCCAAAAGCAATGGTTCCTGGTTTGGACACAATGTCCAAAAGCAACAGTTTCTGGTTATTTATTACAGGTCTATGTTTCCCTGTCAGTCACTTCACTGCTTGATCCTAGAGAAACCTAGAGCTCTAAACCAGAGAACCTGTGGGTATATTCAGCCACGAGAAAAAACTTTCGTTGCTCAGTAAACCTTCTATGAGTTCACGATGGACCTCATTTCCTTTAGGGGACCCAGCTACTGCATGCTGCTGAAGAAAGATGTGACCTCAACTCAAACTGTTGAAATTTGGTAGTCTACTCCTGGGAATTAATTCAACCCTCCTCATCTTACTGAATAACAACTCATTGCCTGTAATTTTCTTCTACTGTAGTTCTTCTATGAACAATAAGGCTTCTTCATTGAACAAGAAAACAAACAAACAAAGCAAAAGAGTACATTAACTACAAAAGCAATCCTTGGAGCTTATACATTGCAGGAGGGATGAAAGCAGAAGGCACCGATTCTCTCTGTGGTTTAATGTATTTCCCTCAAAACTGACAAATGTCCTCTTTATGAAATATAATGTTCATAGAAGCCACTTGGCAGGACTTGTGAGTTACCAAATACACATACACACAGGTATATAAATAGGTAGATATAAAATCACATCACAAATCACTTTCCACTAATACTATATCACAAATGTCAAGTGAACCAAACTCTTTACTCTTTGAGCTATGATAAAAGTGATTTCTATGTTTTCCTAAGTTTGGAAAAGTATATGACCAGGATACCTTGCCACTTCACCAAAAATATGTGGTGATCACCCAGGATGGAGCAGAAGTTTGGGAACGTGGCAGCAGCCACAATAGCTAGAACAAATATTTCACAAGAAGAGCTCCTTTATGATATTTTTATAATATTCTTAAAGATGCATATTAAATAATTTCTTCTGGACCACAGACATGACTGAACTTAAAAATTACAAGCCCTATAAATATTGCCAACCCAACCTTGTCTTTTGTATCTCCCTTCTTGCATAAAATGGAATCTTTTCAACCAAGCACTTAAAACATAAATATTAAAATAATAAATGGGACACACTAAAAATCTACTTATAATTTCATCACTACTGTAGCACCTTTTTGCCAGGGCCAATGCATTCATTTCATAAAGAACAAGAGAAGTCTGAGAAGCTTATGGACTCATATGACACATCATTAAATATTTAATCACCTTTTAAGTCCTAAGCCTTTATCATATTTCATCCATCTAGACAGTTCATTCTATACTCTAGATTCCAAAGCCCCCTTTGGAGGGGAAAAAAAAAGAAAATGGGGAGAGAAAACCCTCTGAGAGGCAGGGTTAAATTATCTGAAAGATGACTTTGTATTGGCGCTGTAGTGAACTTGCTTCACCCCGAAACCCATCAATCCACAGTAGGGTCAACCGATTAAGTCCATTGCTTTTTAGTCTCCAAGAATCAGTTTTACAAAAGATGCCACATCTGTTGCTTTGGATTCATGTAGGGTGAAAAATGGATGTTGCTGAGAAAGAAAAGAAAAATACATGGTATTAATATTTGTCATTGACAAACAATATATGAGATTAGCAAATTAACAGATCTGTTTGGTAAACAGATTAAGTATCCCTCTCAGAGTTAAGCTGGACTCTTCTCATCCCTTCCAAAATCAAGCACACATCTAGTGATGCAAACATTTAAAGATATTTCTTAGTTGCCACTCCTCCCATTTTGATATCTCTAGGTTTCCACTACCCTCTTTGGCTTTAGAAAAATTTGATTTATAAATAACTTTGGTCCTCCAAAGTCATTTCAGACTGATACAGTAGTAAAATAATTAGAAATTTCATAGATTTATGCACTTTCATTTCTCAGGAAATAGATGGTAGAATGAGAAACCAATTTTGTTGAATAGTAAATATTCGAGGAAGGCAGTCCTTGCTTTTGATATCAGAGAGCTGATTTGGACTGAAACAGTTAAAGCCATTTTCCAAGCCACGAGTTATACTTATGTCTCTCTTGATGAAGAGTTAATCCATCTGGAAAATAATATAGACTGCCAAACTCTAGGTATATGCAGAGAAATTGAACTTGGAGATTAAAGATTGAAAAGGAAACATTGGTCTCTATTCACACAGCTCAGATCAACTTTAAAAACACATCAAGTCCTGGACTTAGCTAGGTGAACAGGCACAGTATGATTCAAGAGGCTGCATATTTCAAAAACAATTCTGGGGAGATGAAGTCGTTTTCTCTACACCAGCACAATTCTCCCCAAATGGCTCAATTTTGTCACAAAAAGTGCCCAGCTGTCACAGTGGAACCTGCCACCTCTAATTAGAAAGAGATACATCAGGTCATGGATCCATAGTTCTCACAGTGGAAAGAAAACCAACCAAACCAACCAAAAAGGACGATGCCTCCAGGTAGCACCTAATGCTGTTTTCCTCCTCACCTGCCACACCCACTTGCCAATCCCGGGGCTGCCGACTATTCTCAATGACCAGCTGAGCAGCTAAATATGAGCATTTTTACATGCAGACATGTACATGACTCACTCTGTTTCCCCTGACTTTAGGAACTTTAGTTTACAACCTTCCTGTTGCCTAGCTGTAGGTTTTCTAATTATATTTGTTTTAAACCTGACAGCAGAGGGCTGAATGAGTCAGCTCTGTGGGGAACTGAATGCCCACCCATGAAAGTTTTAGGAAGCAATGCAAATGGGAAAGGAACAAGGACATAAAAGCCAAACGAAGATAGCGCTGGTCACTGTTAAGTATCATGACTCAGAAAACGGAAAAGAGGTTTTCTGACTTTGCTTGTCTGAGGATACAGGTTGGGTGTTGGCCCGGATCCTCACACCCACGATGTCAACTGAAGCTCTGGATGCTGGGTCCCTCCTCCGGAGCTTCCTCGACAACTACATAGCAGCACCGCTACTTATTACTAACCACTTACACAGCACATTCACCAAGTGCTTTGCCATCGTGCTTATTAGCTTTCCCACATCCTCTTGACATTTGGAAATCTTTTAATGTACTTAAAAGCTTTATACTATCAAAACAGGACACGCCAAACCTCAGATTGTCTTGGTGACTGCTTCCAACGCCTGCCAGCCCCACCTTGTCTCTCGTCCTACTGGTGGCTATTAGCGCAGTGGAAGGAGCCTGCGTCTGAGAATGCATTAAATAGCCTGACCTGAAGTCTTTAATAAAAGAAAACGTCCACAGGGACATTTCCATTTATTCCCAGGCTTGGAGGACGCTGTGAGAGCCAGGAGGGGGAGGGGAAAGCAGGCAGGCATGTCAAATGGAAAGTGTGACTTGCCCTCTTGTGTGGGTTTTGAGGCTGTAAAGGGTTGGGAGGAAACCCAGTCCCTTCTAGAAGCGACAGACTAAGAATAGCAAGGAAGGACAGTAACCAGGAGACAAACAAATTAGGCACCATGAACAACCCCCAGACCACAGTCCCAGGCTGGCTTTCCCAAAAGAGGAGCCAGGTGCAGGAAGGGAGGACTTTGCATCATTTAGGTTCCACTATCATGCCTGTAGAAAACATGGAGATCTATGAACATACTGTCAGGAGCAGAAGCACAAGCTACACTCACCAACAGGTCTCCACACCCCCTGCACAATGCCCCATCCCTCTAGGCTATGTCCTTAGGTTCAGGTATCTTTGTTTAACACTGCAATTCAACCTAGAATTTCCCAATGTATTTGGAGGAAATAATCGCCTCACCAGGCAATCGTTTGAATATACCTGGTCATCATTTCTGGTGGCTATCATCTAGGACAAGGGTCAGCAAATTATGGCCCAAGGGCCAAATCTAGCCCATGGTCTGTTTATTAAAGAAAGTTTTATTGAAACACAGTTGCACACACACTTTCCCCCGGGGGCCCTCATATCGTATATGCCTGCTTTTACACTGCAACAGCAGACTTGAGTAGTTGGAACAGCAACTGAATAGCCCACAAAGATCAAAATACTTACTATCTAGCCCTTTACAGAAAAAGTTGATATCTACTCTAGAAAAACAAATCCTACTGAGTCATGCCTACCCTCAGGAGAAGCTTGAGAGAACAAGCCAACGAGATGACCTTACAGTATGTTCAATCTGAGTTAGGGAGAAAAACATTTGGGATTTCTATAAGAGGTACATGTCTGGGTTAAGGCCTTAAGTAAACTACCCTTCACCTGGAAAAAAGATTTTTTTTTTCCTCCCTCCAACAACTCCTAAAATCCAAACAATAGCCTTTCAGGGTGTGTTTTCCCAATGCTAAAGTCAGGGAGTCTGAACTCAGATTTTCCATTTAAAAACCTCAATTCCACAGGAAAGCAGGGAATAGTTATAGTCTTAAAAGGCAAGTCCATTCCCAGTACCACAGGGACTAATGCTATAAGGAGAATGGTGGGGGGAAGTGGGGGGGAGCAACATGATCTTATAATATTAATATGTAGGCCATAAAATGTCACAGTGTTAGGATATATTGCAAAAGTAGAATTAACATCAGCTGCCAACGTATATTAGACAATTTTTTTCCACAAATGTGTTCCAGTGAAATTTCTAATAAGAGGCTACTTGGAAAACAAAAATGTTCTGCATTTTAAATAGGCAGAAATATACAGAAAATATTCCTCTTTTATCTGAAAATAGTTACAAAACAAGGCAACTTTAAAATAGGATTACAGTCTCTGGAGAATCCTACAGGAATCACTGTAAGTCTATTGCACTTTATATGCAATTAATTTTAAAATGCCCTTGGGGTGGGGTTGCATTAGCATAACAAAAAGGGTAGCCAGGACTGAAAAGCCCACTAACTAGCTATTAAAAAAATAATCAGGGAGGAAATATTCAACCCAAACATGTAGTGTATACTAAGAGTTTCTCAAGTATTACTCATCTTTTCTTCTTCAACTATGAGTCTTAGTTGAGTAGAGCTTGTAGAGTGCTGAGCACTGGAGACTGTCTTTTTAATGGGGACAGTGGAGGCCCAAAAAGATGGCCTTGTCTCCAATTCATCCAATTAGAGAGGGGCATGGACTTCTATCAAAGCTTAACCAACAGAACTGAAAATCCATGTGATTGGTTGTGACTATCACACACCCTCCTAATTGGCTTTCCATAACTCTTCCTGATTTGACACTTCCAAGCTGTACTTTCCCCACGTCTGAGCCACCTCACCACACCATTTGCTAAGAGATACCAGGAATCTGTGCTTCTGTGACATGTCCTGAGTTGGTCTAGAAGACAGCCCTGCTTGTGGGTAGGATGGGATAGGAGCAAGCATTTTTTTTAATTTTTATTTTATTTTATTTAGAGATGGGGTCTCACTCTGTCACCCAGGCTACAGTGTAGTGGCACAATCATAGCTCACTGCAATCCCAAACTCCTGAGCTCAAATAATCCTCCCACCTCAGCCTCCCAAGTAGCTAAGACTACAGGTACACACCACCACACACAGTTAACTTTTTTTTTTTTTTTGTAAAGACGGCATCTCACTATGTTGCCCAGGCTGGTTTTGAACTCTTGGGCTCAAGCAATCCTCCTAACTCAGCCTCCTATGCATAGTGTTAGGGTTATAGGCATGAACCACTGTTCCTGGCCAGGAGTAAGCATTTAAGGCCTGCTGAATAACTATGCTCCAGTTAGAAAGGGTATCAATGTTTGCTCTTATCTCTTTTGAAATTGTGCATTAACGTAACTATTCCTTCCCCTCCTAAAATTAAAAGGTGGAAAATTAAAACTATAAAAACACAGTTATTTGATTATAATTTAGGTCTTAGTTACTTTATTTTCACTAGCTGCTAGTTTGGACATGTTTACACTAACAATACTTACCATAAGCTCTGGATACGTAGGCCGTTCTTTGGAATTCTTCTTCAAGCTTAAAGAGAAAAATTAAGCACATTAAAATTAGAAACCACCTGTATTTTCACTAGACTAGGATTTCAGAACCTGTAGAACACTAAACATAACCAGCTATAAAAATGTATTAAAAACATGGGCCTCCTATCTTGACTTTCCTCTTCTTTAACACTTATAAAGTATGTTTTAAATCACTCTGAGTATACTTAAATGGTAAAAATAGGGAAAGGGGTGTGTGTGTGTGTGTGTGTGTGTGTGTGTGTGTGTGTGTGTGTGTGTGTATTTTCTTTTTGATACTTTACCAATTACATACAAGCTAACTTTTCTCACCTACAGCCATTGTATTTCAAAACATATATCTACTTTCCTTCGAAGCAGCTTTTAATGCCAAAATTGGCAGGTATTTGTTATCTCTTCACTGTCTAACTATCTGGCTTTCCTTGATCCTGTTTCTCTTGAATGTATAATTTGCTTTTATATACTCCCAAACAAACCTGCTTGGGACAGAAGCAGTAAACCTGTAACACTTCTAAGATAACACTACTTGTTTATGATATCTTAGCTGATTAGAGAGAAAGCACATTCATTCAGTGAGTTGCCAATTATTCTTATTAGGAATACTATATGGTCATGCACTACAGTCAAGTGGCACCTGGTCATTCAGCTCTCGCCATACATAGACATTTAACAACATTTGATATGGAGGCAACAGTAATAAAATTGCAGATAGAGACCGATCCATTGCCCCTATCCTTAACCCATTCCTATCTTCTATCCACCCCCAGCCTTAAAATGGAAAAAAGAAAAGAATTAGTTTACTTGGAGTTGGAATCCCAGGTTATGCATGGATAAAAGGATGATTTTGAAAACCATGATTTGCAAGGCAACCTATAGACTTCTGTGACCTATGGGTCACAAAATCATACACGAATGGAAAGGAACTTTGCCTAGAGTTGAAGGAATCAAAATGTAACTGATTATTAGGTTGCTAGGATTTGTGCTAATGGATCATATTGAGCAAATGAGACCTAGTATGTGTGACATGAGCTTTTCTCCACCCACAGGAACTACTCATGAGAGTGGCAAGGTATAAAACCATAAAAGAATAAAAAGTCATTGAGACACTTTGAGAACCTGTGGTTTAAAACAAAACAAAATATCTTTTAAAAGAGAGAAAGTTTTTGAACCAAAACAACTTAAAAGCAGCCTACCAGTTTATTCCAGGCAATGCTGTGGGTAGAAGCCAGGGAACCTGAGACAGGGTACAGGTAGATGTGAGGAGAGAAGTTTCAACCTGGAACTGAGGGCAGACCTAGGACCTAGTGACCTCAGTGACCAGACAACCTATGAGAGAAAGTTTCATCTCAACTGAGGATAAAAATAAGAGTGCATTAGAAAGAGGAATTAACAACTGTCAAAGTCGGATTGATATGGGAATGTGTGCCTGAGTGAAATGAATGAGACCTTATAACACCCACTCATGGCTTTCTATATATCTACATTCTGAGAGTCTACATGGATGGTTCTCAACTGGATGTGATTTTGCTCCCCAGGGGACATTTGGCAATGTCTGGAGGCATTTGGGGTTGTCACAACTGGTGGCAGGGTGTTACCGGCATCTAATAGGTAGAGGCCCGGGAGGTTGCTAAACATCCTAAAATGCACAGGGCAGTCCTCCATAACAAAGAATGATTCAGTCCAAAATGTCATTAGTGCAGAGATTGAAAAACCCTGCTAGGGGGTCCCTCCTTGTTGCTACGTCCTATCTCCTTCTCTGAGAAGGAATTCACGTAAAAGAAGAATCTCCAACTGGTTCATCTGACATTTGGGCACATTCTCACCAAAACTGCCTCCCACCCCAAAAGCAAAAATTTTTTTCTTTCTAAGTTCAAGAGTTAGTTCACCAAGAAAGAAACACAGAAGAAACATGATCCTGTCACACAGTCAACATTGCTAACTTGCACATAGACCCAAGAAAAAAAAAAAAAAAAAAAAAAAAAAGGAAACAAAGCAAAACAAAACAAAATAAAAACAGGCTAATGTACAAAAGCCCTGAATTTCCCACCATTGTTCAAAGCAAATGAAAAACCAGAAATTCTTCTCTATAATTTGACCAATTCAACTTGCTAAATCAATAACAAAAAAGTACAAACACAACATTAAATCTACACTCAATATTCAAAGGGTTGATTTTGGGTGTTTCTAGACCCTAACTCTACATTGAATCTGGAACATTCTCACTGAGAACCCCAGCCCACCTTTCCATTATTAGCTTTCATTGGTCAACAACAGAACCAAGGGAATAAGGAAGAAAAGCTTGCTTATTTTCATTTGAGAATGAAAACAATGGTCTCGTTTACCAACCAGGGATCTTTCTGGTATTACTGATTTTTTTTTTACTTTCTATTTAGTAAATAAGATAACAAAATAAGACTCTTTATTCCCAACAGGTAAAAGAGCTTAAACACTTTTTTAAGTAAAGGTGATTTTAGAGTCAGGCTATCTTATCTTTTCACTTCTGGAATTTTTTATTAAAAAAACTTCCAAAATTATTATTTTGTAATCTGTATAAAGAAAATATGGGGAAAGTATCCCATTTCTCAATTTATGGCCCCCGATGAGAAAGCTCAAAATTTATCCCAAGTACTACTGCAGAATATTAATGGAAAATACTTACACAGCAAAGCAAGGCTGTTTATACAGTTAACATAACTGATATAACCCATTCTCTCCACCATTTAAATGAAGAACACTTCAAAACATGGGCTAAGAATAGCAAAATACTCAGGATAAGGTTAGGACAAAAAGCAAATTTTCCATGTTTAATAGGAAGTGCTTGAAATTCAGTATAAAATAACAACTGTGGAGTTCAAAGCTACATCAATTCCTTTTTGAATTTGAGTCAGACTTTTGAATTTTCAAGTGGCTTGTCATTTTCAAGCGTGCAATTAGCTAACTGCCCTAATTCCTCTTCCAAATGCCACAACACATGCTGCTGACCATAGCTGACACTAAAAAACAGCTTCATGCTGTCTTGAGAATTGCTAGTCTGAAGTTTGTGCTGACCAGAGGATTTCTGCCTATTTGAATTGCCCTGATGGTTTCCAAGAAGGGCTATTTGGTGCCTCCACAGAATAAAAACACATTGCACCTCTCAAGCCATATATTTGTCATAAGCTAAATAAACATCCAGTGCCTCTTTTTACTGTTCTTCCTGAACAAGTAGGAGACTGGATTTGATTGTCTCTGTTTTACACACGTTTCTCTGAGGCAGACAGTTTCTGCGTCTGGATGGGCCTCCAACACACTTCAATACGCCTTCAGACGGGTCAGCTGAGCACCAAGCCTCCTAAATAGGCCTGAAGGAACAATAAAAGGAAGTCTAGCTATTGTGGCACTAGGCAGGTGATTTCCTGTGACTTCCTTCTGTGAACCTATAGGAAGAAGTTATGATGAAAAGTGTGAGCCTGCTAAAATTCCATTTTTTGGAGAAACTCATTTGCTAACCCTCCTGCATGTAAAAACTGCTCTATCAGATGTCTCTATTATGAATCCCAAAACAAGGCCAATGTGGTCTGCACTACCCACCCCAGGAACTCTTTAAAACCCCTATGATAAGAAACTCCATATGTGGGAAACAGAGGAAGAAAATGTCATTCAGTAGACGTATTTCAAAATAAATACAGAAAGGAAGGGTTTGTAAGAAACCATTGGGTTTTTTTTCCCTTCAAGTTCATATGGTTGACTTTCTCCTCCTCCCCCACCACCTCCCTTGAAGACAACATTTGTCTGATGTTACTGCAAAAGAAATATAGAAGTGGGAACTCTGGGCTCTAGATGTAACTTTGGGTGTGATGATCACAGCCTGTAAGTGCTTTCTACTCTACCCCAACCAACTATAATTTATGGTCAATTGACAAACCATGATCAGTATTGGTGGGCCAGAGGAGAGTGATTCTCTGGAAGCAGATTGACAGTACCTAGCAGCATTATGATGTCATCATTCCAAGTTGGTCCCCTGGATGGAGGTGTATGCTACCTAGCAGCCTTATGATTTTGATTCCCAGGGTAGGATACATCCCACGAAAGGTCACAAATACTCTGTCAGTTACCTAAGCTACAGATAATGTGCCCTTTTTCTACATTTATCCCAAAGATAGATGTAGGAAATAAAAACGTAGATGTATCCATCTTGAAATCTGGGATAAAATGTTTCACTTTCCAAATATGTAGTCCTCTTTCCTATTTAGTGCAAAGAGTTGGGGGCTTTTGGAGAAGTCTGGAAGGACCACAGCCTGTGTCCTAAAAATATAAAAAACATGGAGATCATTCAAAAAAGGGTCCTTTTATGAAGACGTGTCTCAATGGTACAGCTTTATACATAGGAAAACAGAAGAATAGCTGATAACTGGGAGGTATGCATATAGACAACATTCTTCTTTTTATCAGGAAGTAGAAGAGATGTTCTTCAGTAACAATCATTTGTCCATTCTTCCCACCTAGCTCCAAATCAAACGTAAAACTTTCAGTAATAAACCAGGTGAAATATCTACAGTGTACTGACTGAGGGTATGTACTCATATATTAGCATACATGAAAAATTAAATTGCTTCCATAAATATCTAAGCCAATCATAAAGTCTAAAAAAAATCTGTGCTAGTTTTTGAAGTATGAGACAACTTTTCAACTCTGTTGGTTTCAAAATAAGTTAATATTCATCCTTAGGGGCTATCGAAGAAAATATATTGGTGGTTTATGGCAGGCAAAAAAAATATTGACATGGGATCTGAAACAGGAGAGCTTGTACTCTGAGAAAGTCCAACTGAGGATAAGAATGCTCATAAAATTCAGAATTAATGTTCCTCTTCAATTTCCTAATTCTCATACCAACAAAAATAACTCACCATTTCACACAGTTGATGTCCTTAAGTATTGGATTCTACCAGACCTATAAATAATACTGAAAGTTTGAGGAAGACAAATTTATCTTTTGATGACTTCTAAGTTGAAGCGGTTTTTGCTTCTAATATTATAATTTTTAATAAACCCCATAATTGAGACCGACTGGCTTACATGAGTGGAAATGAATTAACACAGTGTTAACAGTATTAATAGCATTAACAGTTTCAGGAAAACTGGAAGATGTCTACAGCTGAAAATGTTTAAATTAATGAACTATGTTAGCTGGGACTAAAATTGAGAGAAAAAGAGAGGGAAAGGTATATCTCAGAGGGGGCAGCCACGAAGATAATATGGGCGGTATGAGGGGAGGGTAGGCACACTGTGGCCACTTTATGTGGTGGCCAGGTCTCTGGGATTTCCACATACATGAGTGTACATTAAAGTCAGAAAACATTTATTTCTCAAGATTTTCATTTTTAAAAATATCTGTAAAAGTTTTAATGCTCTGATTCTTTGGGAGAAATTCAAAGAGGAAAAAAATAGTCTGGTGAAAGAAAAAGAGTATTAATAATGGAATGATTTTTTAAAAAAAAATAAACTGCAGAAGATAAAAAAGCCTCTGAACAGAAAGCAGCGAAGAGCAGGTCCTCAGATCTTATGCCTAAACCAGGCTTCTCATCCCCAATGTACATTAGAATGACCTGAGAACATTTGAAAAATATTGATATTCAGGCCCCTCCTCAGACCAATTACATCAGAATTTCCAAGAGTGAGGCCTGGGGGACAGTAGTTGCAAAAGCTCGCTAGGGTTTTATAAACGAGCAGCCACAGTTGAGAACTGTGGAATGAAACAGGTGATTCGCATCAGGGGACTCAGCTTTCTCAGACTTTGCACACCAGCCTTGTTCTCCTCACCAAAGTTTCCTGAAGTACCCAGAATGGGGGGTAGGGGGGGAATGGGGGGACGGACAAGTGGCAGATGGGTGACAGGGAATCTGAAGAGACTTGCCAAGATAAGATCCTTCCCTATCACCACCCCTCTTGAGAACAACTGATTTGTACTATCCAAGATGACTCATCCTTTTTTCTATGTGACCTTTAAACATTTGAGGATAAGGAAAAAAATAATAATAAAAAATAAAAACAAATAATAACAACAAAAACCAAGGTTTTGAATCCAGAAAGCAAAATCATGAAACCATTTCAACCTGGCAGATGTACTGCTGCATCCTGCACACTCCCTCGAGGAAAACAGACAGGAGGATGCGCCCCAGCAGTCCAGAGGATGTATATTTTAAGAGGCATCCAAGAACATATTATACCAGGTCTCAGTGCTCCAGCCGCTCTCTGGCCATTCAGCCAAAAACAAACAACTGTACGCAGCCTCATCTATCATTAGGTAAAAATACCAGGAGTGGGAAGGGGCCGAGGACTCATGAAAAGTCCAAGAGGTCTTAGTTTCACAAGCAACAGACAGTTGCTTTGTTGCATTATGGTCCCCAATAAAAGCTGTATTCAGAACACTTCTCCCAGGAATCACGGAGGCCAAGGGATGACATCATGGGGAAGGTGATCTGTCACCCTCCTCTGTACCTCCAACAGCCTGCAGAGCTCCGGGTCCTTCCTCAGCAGCGTGTGGTCAGAAATGCTCCCCTCCGAGGGTCACAGCTGGGTGTGCCACTGTCTCTGACCCCTCTTTCTCCCAGGATGCCCAAATAAACTAATGTGGCTTCCCTTTGTGCTTTCCTTTTGGCATCCTGTTTCCAGCAGCACTGGCCATGGTCATCACTATCGAGTTATGCCAGACATCATGGACACTAGGCAGACACAAAGCACTCAACTGTCTGGAGAATACTTTTCTTCCCTCTCTTACTTTTCTTGATCGCACTGGCAATACTGTATTAGTATGGTTCTTTTCTTCTTTCCACCCCAACTTCCTTTGGATTCCTTTCCCAGCCCCCCAGCATGATCCATTCTGCTTTCATGGGGGGGGCAAGTCCATCCGCAGTTAGCAAGTCTTCTACAGGAGCCAAGTTTCTGTAAGACATCGAGGTACCTAAATAACACTCCCACACTACCCACTATCTTCCCATCCAAAGTGATTCTTTTCCTCTACTCCCTAGCTCTAGACCTCTATTAAGTACTACCAGCTTTACCTTTCTACTCTAATCAACATCAAATTGCTTATAGCTTGTATAAAGGAGTTTCTTGCTTTTGTGACACTACGTGTGATATTCCTTCATTTGGAATACCTTTCCTCCCCTGCTTCCCCTTTGCTTGGAAAATACCTCTCATGGTCTCAGCCCAAGATTTATCTCCTCCAGGAAAATTTATCCTGATGCCTTTCCTCTGGGTTCCCTGAATTCCCTGTGCATATTTCCATCACTAGACTTGCCGTATTATATTAAATATGACAATTACTGATTTACAAGACTTCTTTACTTGACTGTGAGCTCAATGAGGGCAGGGAGTGTGATATAGTCATTTGTCTCCAGCATCTAGGGCATACTCCACAAATGCTTTCGGAATGAATGCATGCATAATGGATTACACCTGATGGCGGAAATCCACGAGAACTCATCTTCTTTAGCACTGACACCTGAGAGATGAGGCTCTCTTACCACTGTGAGGTAAAGTCAACAAACTCTGCAGAGAACTTGTCTGCTGGGAGTTGTGGTGATGGCTCCTCTACCACCTGTTTGAGCTGCTGAAACGGAGTTCCCCACGAATCATAGGGAAACCGAAGGATGGCCAACTCAATCTAGGGGAGAGAAGAAACAAGGAGGTAACAGGTTAAACAAGACTGCTTCAGGGAAGCAGGTGTGTGTTTTTCATTCCTGGAACACCAGAGGGAAATACAAAGGTGACATTCAAGTACAATTTTTGGGGAAAAATAAACTAATAATCTATTCTCTAACAATTTCCCCAGATTCTTAGTTCTAGGAATTTTCAAATAAGATCTTACTAGAGACAGTCACTTAAACCTATCTAAAACAGGGTCCCTCACTAAAATCCACTGTGGCAATTCATAAAAATTGTAAGCCAACAGTATTAAACTTCAGTAGGCAAAGTAAACTGGTTTTCCAAATGTGGTCTGAAAAGTTAATTCCCATCCTAAGATCTTTACAAAACTGTACCTCTACTGCCATCTGCAGGTGCTTTGGTGAAATGGCAGTGGGGAAAGTAATCTAGGGCCAAATAAATGATCTTTTTTTGGACTTCAGTAGAGGCCACTTTGCCGTCACAGGATCACGTGTTTTCTGGGCAGGGACGTGAAATAATTCACAGGATTTAGTCAGCTGCTGTGCCCAGGAGGGAGCCAGGACTGCAGTGGATAATTCCAGCCCTTGGTGATACACTACAAATTTATGATCACCAAAGTTATGTGTAAGGCACTTATCGTATAACTTTAGAGCTGTGCCTAAAGAAATTACCCTATTTGTTATCATGTCTTTAGGATACACCTGACCTCAACAGCTAAGATTTCTATGATAAAAATACCGTGGGAGGCATAGCCTATGTCCTAGATAACACTGTCCTACTAAAGTCCACACGCATTAGTACTCTTTGTGTAGCTGAAGCTTCTTGCCTTGACTAGAATAATTTAATTTTAAACTATAAGGAATCTAGTCAGATCCTCTCATTTTATAGATGAGGACAAAAAGAGAGTCTATGTAACTATATTAGTTATTCAAGTGCATACAACTAATCAGAAGTAGAATAAAGAGAAAAATTGATTTGTCCAATCTCAGTTCAGGGTTTCTACTATACCACACTGCAAACAATTATCACTCAAAACCTCCTGCCATATCAGCAGGAAAGGATGCCCCAAGCCAGCACTTTGGGCATTTGCTTCTTGGTCCCAAATCCACCCCCATTGCAGCTTCATCCCCTTAACCTTATAGTCCATGATGATTGTCATACGCTACCATTGTGATGCCCAAACTCCAAATGTCAGACTTCACACTGTATCCCTTCTGGTTGAGCTCTGGGTTTATTCTTTCCGGCTAAAAAGGAGACAGACAACTGAAAAACTGGAAAGACTATTGAGATGACATTGTTAGCTCGATAAAGTTTTTTTGGGGGGGGGTTGCACCAGCTGCCAAGTGAGTTGTTTTAAGCTGCTAACACACCTCCCAGGCCAAGAGGGCTCAGTGATTACAATTAAATATCAATGTCTTCCTGGGGTTTTCCTTCTTCTGTGTTAGTCTTTTCTTGGGCACAGTAATGGATCGAGTTCCCTTCAAAATCACCAATTTCAATTTCACCTTAAGAAGAAAGCGGGTCTATGTTATACAGCTACCATCTAGAATTATCCTTGTGAAAAACAGCAATAGTCTAGAACACAGAAAAAAGAATCAACAGCTCAGGTGTGTTATCTCACTGAGCCTGGAATCCCAGTGCTTTGGAAGGCCTAGGTGGGAGGATTGCTTGAGGCCAGGAGTTCAAGACTAGCCTGGGCAACATAGTAAGACCACCGCCCCCCCAGGCCATCTCTACAAGATATTAAAAAAAAAAAAAAAAAATTAGCTGGGCCTGGTAGAGCACTCCTAGAGGCTGAGGCAGGAGAATTACTTGAGCCCAGGAGTTCGAAGCTGCAATGAGCTATGATTGTGCCTCTGCACTCCAGCCTGGGTGACAATCTCTAAAAAAAAAAAAAAAGGAAAAAGAAAAAGAAGAAAAAGACCAGAGAAGAGTCACTGGGCTATTGTCCCACATTGATAGTGATAGACCTAAGGAATTTTTAGCTAAGCACAGACAGAAAGCCTTTCAATTCCAAGTGCAAGTCCATTTACAGATAGAATGCAGTGTTAAGTTCTTTCAGTCAAAGAGGATCCCAAGGTCTCTGCTAATGGCTATAAATCTTCACAGCTTTGAAGTTCTCTCATAACTAACCCAACTGCTTTGCTTGGGTAGTTTAAATTTTACCTACTATTCAATATTCAACAGACAAGGTAACACCCACCTGCAACTCAGTGTGGAAAATTATACATGCTTTTGTGTTTTTTATGTATTGCTTATGTGTTTTTTTTTCCAAATAATGTATCTCTTTTACTTGATTTTTAAAAAGTGGTGTTAATCTGTATGCCCTGGTCTAAAGGTTTGTGTCCCTCCCAAAATCCATGTTGAAACCTAATCACACATGTGAGGTATTAGGAGAAGGGGATTTTGTGAGGTGACAAGGTCACGAGGGTGGAATGCTCACAAGTAGGATTGGTGCCTTGTATAAAAGAAGCCCTAGAGAGATCCCTCACCCCTTTTACCATGTGAGAACATAGCAGGAAAATGTCATCTATGAACCTTAGACAAGTGGGCCCTCTCCAGACGCCAAATCTACTGGCACTTTGCTCTTGGACTTCCCAGCCTCCAAAACTGTGAGAAACAAATTTCTATTGTTTATAAGCCACCTGGTTTATGTTATTTTGTTATGGCAGCCAGAACAGACGAAGACAACATATGAAACAAGTGAGTAAAGATTTAAGATAGGACATATTTAAGGAAAAAAGGAAATGCAGAATATTTCTAGAGCCTTAGGCACATTTCAACATTCCCTCTGTGGCCATCTGTATTCTATCTCCCTGCGTGCTTTGCTGGCAGTTGCGTTCTCAGGTGCCACCCCCAGCTAAGTACTTACGGCCATGTATGGTTTGCAACCTGCATCAATTGTTTTAGCAACAGAGTCCACCAGGTAGCCACTGATTCCAAAATCGCACATCTTCACTTGGCCAAGAGCATTAATGAGCACATTGGAAGGCTTGACGTCTGAAAGCAAAAGCAATCAGGATCCCATCATTTCAGCCTGCTTTTCAGATTCACTTCTCGACCAGCAGAGGGCCTGAAATCTCTACTTGTCCCTCATCTTCCTTTCCCCAAGTTGCCCCACACAGAAGTAACTGTCATTCATCCCTGACTCATAGTTATATACAGCTTATTGACTTCAACTTGATTTTCTATTTCAGATTTTGTCCAGGTTTTAGTGGACTGTGAATCCATCAGTGGAAAGAACTGTTTCTTATCTAATTTATTGTCTTCATTGTCCCCATCCACGAACAAAGGACTTTAAAAGTTATTACTGAAGCAAATGCTCAGTTCAAAATGATCTATTGATATTTAGGTTAGAAATAATAGAACAAGGAATGAAAAGGCAGACTGTAACACAATGATACACTAAATATAATCAAAGCAGCCAGTTTTGATTGAAACTTGCACAAGAGATATGTCAGAGGTCATAGAGTGTAATGCATCATAAACCCAGGTATTCCAGACCATGGGTCAGGTCACGGAAGAAAAGGTATTACTGAACAGATCTGGAATGAAGTCTTCAGACTAGAAAGATATAACCCACCCACCCACACGCCCAAAAAGCTTAACTATTGTCATCTCTGGATAATGGAATTAGAAATTACAGTTATTTTTTTTCCCTTGGTGATACTTTTCACAAAGCACATGAGATCAGAAAAAAAGATATATTAAAAGCTTTAAAAATTATCCTTTATAAATTTTCCCTTAAACTGATGGATAGATAAATTTCATTTTATTATTTTTCATGCTTTATATATATTCTCTATTATGAATTAAATATTTCATAATTCTAAAATGAACTCTTAAAAATCAGTTTCATGTTTGTAGATAATCCATATTCTTCCTTCTATCTGTATCCTTTCCCACTTTCTCCTCCTCATCTTCCACCATCTTATTTCCCAAATTATTAATAACAACTGATGATAATAATAAGAACACTGTATAAGACATTTTAAATTATTTCTAGGCACAGAGAGTTTAAAATTACCAAAACCACAATGTCCTACTAGTTATCAATACTTCCCATTAATTTTCTCAAAGACATGGTTGAGTATATATCTCTTCCAAGAAGCTTTCCCTGACTATAATCACCAAATGACAATCATTTTTTTGTTTTACATTCTACCTATACTACTTTCATATTTCCAAGGTGTTTTCCCCCCTATTTTTATATATTTATTTTATTTTCCTATCAAGAATCCCAACATAGAATTTTAATAAGAATATTATTTTCTTCTCAAATGACTTCTCAGGGCATCTATTATAGAGCTATATTTTTAAAATATTATAAAAGATGAATAGATAGATGAATAGGTAGATCGAAGACAGATGGATGGATATAGGTGGATGAATGGAAGGATAAAGAGATTAAAAAGTGAGAGGAAGTAAGGAAGAGGAGAAGGGAGAGAAGGAAGAGACAGACCATATTGTCCTGCCTCCTATCTGAAAGGGCTCTACTTTATATCAGAGCTCTTTACACTTTAATATACACAAGAATCGCCCGGGGATCTTGGTCAAAATGCAGATTCCAATTTATTTGGTATTAAGAGTCATGACTTTGTTTTTCTAACAAGTTCCCATGTGATGGCCAATACAATTTTTATCCTATTCTCTGAAATTCTCAATGCCACAATCCCACAGCACTGCTTGGGATTTTAACAGGCATTTTATATTCAATGTAAAAAGGTAACAGAAAGCCCATGTCTTCTTACGTCCTCAGCCATGATAAGGAATAGCTACTTCTATGATTTGCTATCCAACCCCAAAGGATGGTTCCTTAGTTCTCTTGCCTGCTCAGTTCTACATACATCCGTGGGGGGAAGGGTGGTGAGGAGGGACTTCAGGTAAAAGAAATAAAGTTTACGAAAGGAACAGCGAGGCAGGTCCATGGATACTTACCTCGATGAATGACAGAGAGCTTACTGTGTAAATGTTCTAATGCTTTTACAATCTGTAAGAGAAATGATGACAGATTTATTTACCCCATTACTGGAAAGAAACTGAATGTTAAGTATATCCAGCTTTTTTATCCCTAGCTTAATGTCCCAGGGTGAGGTATTTTCTCAAATACTGGTGGTCTTGGCCGGGCGCGGTGGCTCACGCCTGTAATCCTAGCACTCTGGGAGGCCAAGGCGGGAGGATTGCTCAAGGTCAGGAGTTCAAAACCAGCCTGAGCAAGAGCAAGACCCCATCTCTACTAAAAATAGAAAGAAATTAATTGACCAACTAAAAATATATAGAAAAAAATTAGCCAGGCACGGTGGCGCATGCCTGTAGTTCTAGCTACTCGGGAGGCTGAGGCAGAAGGATTGCTTGAGCCCAGGAATTTGAAGTTGCTGTGAGCTAGGCTGATGCCACAGCACTCCAGCCTGGGCAACAGAGTGAGACTCCATCTCAAAAAAAAAAACAAAAAACAAATACTGGTGTCTTATCCAGGAAAAGACAGGGGAAGTTACACAAATTGTACTCCACCTACCAGAGAGGACTGTATCTTATAGCAGAGAGGATGTCTCCCTCATCTACCTTGCGCTTCATTTGCTCCCAAGCATTCCTTTTTCTCTCCACCCTCTTGAACTCAATGCCACTAAAGTAGCAGACCTTTCTATTTCTTTTTCTTCTGCTTCCTTCTGTGCCTATTACTCTTAAGAAAACATTTAAAAAATCTACAGATGAAAATCAAAATAAACTAAAATCAGAATATAGACACCAGGAATGTAGTCCTAGGAGATGAATACTCTGCTTAGAGGCATTTAACTTAAGAGTTAGCCAAATCAAGTTATGCTGGAATCCTCCACACAGTGCTCAGAAGGAAAAGCATATATTTAGCTATCCACCAATGAACTCATGCATTCAACAGACACGTACTGGTTTGTAGTGGTGGTCCAGGTACAAAGACACAGAAAGCCTAGATTTCTCATATTCTCCTTGTAGTAGGGTTCACAATATACTCACAGAAACTGCTATTTTCCCTAAGATGTCCTCTGGAATTGTTTGGCCTTTGTCAATAACTTGTTTGTAGAATTTATCTAGCGATGTATCCATGAGCTCCATGCAGATCCACACATCACCCTGGAGACAAATTGATTCAGGGATTGTTAAAAAGGATGGAAAAGGGAGAAAGCAAAAACAGTTAACACCTATCCTGATGAACTGACTATTTCTTGCTTGAGTTTTTGGAGGAAATGTATGGTTTTCGGTTAAGATCTCAAAGGTATTTATAAATAAGCAAGATTATCTCCAAAGAGCAAACCAGTAAACAGCCAAGCACTGAACCTGCATGTGATCTTTCAGTCCTTAACAAAAAATGGAATCTAATTACTAACAGTCATAAGCAATGGAACCCCAGAAATCCAAGCCTTTACTCTTACTGCTGTCTAGGAGTTAGGTCTAAATGCGTACTCCATGTCTGATTCCCTACACTGAGCACCAGCAATAGTCAGAAAAAAAGCCTGGTTTTAAGAGTGAGGTGAAGCCTTGTAATCCACATAATGGTAAAGTGAAAAACAGAGGTAGAACAAAAATCAAATTAAGTCTATATGATACACAAGCAGGCTACACAAAGCTCATAAAGTGGCCAAAAGACCAGAATATTTCAGATTTTTAAGGAATCAATGCAAATCAGTTTATAGACAATTGATAAAAGACACTTCTGCCAAAATAGACAAAACGAAACAGAAAGGAGAAGAGAATCAGCATCTTCAAAAGGGCTAACCACACTTGCAAGTACCATAATTTCAAGCCAACTTTGCACCAAGGTAGGTCATCACTGCACACATGAAAAACCCTCTAAACAAGACATGTCAAACAAGAAAGAGCACCATGACTGTGTATGGCATTTATGTGATCAGAGAAACTTCTTTAGTTACTGTTCTTGAACTTTGAATTGATCGATCACCTACCTCCCGGAAGAGTGCGCCATAGAAGGTGACAGTAAATGGACAATCCACTGTCCTCATGGAAATATCTAAATCCATCAGTAGCCGTTTCTGCTCCTGGCTATTTACTGTGGCCCGGATCCGCTGAATGGGAACGCATGGGAAATTTATAGTTACTACTCTGAGGATGAGTAAAGCAGGGACCTCAAGGAGTTCCACCCTGAAAACAGTACAAAATTCACAATACAACTTCTAGCAACATCTTCCGAATACCAACCCCAAGTGATTAGCTATTTATGATACATGAAAATGAAATATGGAAATATGGAATGATTATGAATTTCTTTGCATAGCACAAAAGCTAGGCAAATTTACTCTAGATATGTTTTACCCTTCTTTCCCTACAAATGGAGACAATTTCCTCTCTCAGTTCTGGTTTCTTGATTTTTAGGGGCAATTCTTTAAAAGCAACAGAATATAGAATAAAAGAGATTTATGAGTCATAATAGCCAAATGCAATATGTGAACTTTCGTCTGGATGCTAATTTGAAAAACCAACCAGAGAGGAGAGGGCAAAAAAAAGCCACTTTCAGATGATCAAGGAAATTTTCATTTGTATTGGATATTAGAAGAGGTTAAGGAAGTATTGTTATTTCTTTTAAGTGTGATGATGACATGGTGGTTTCATAAAAATGAAAAATGGAGGGAGAGGGGAGACTTACCATTTAAAAAATAAATAAAAGTGGATGCAACTCATAACAAGGAAGCATTTTCCACACATCTGGAGCGAAATATTGTTCCCTGCAAATAATCTTTTCTGTTTCACCCTAATGAAGATTGTTCTGCTTCCACAAAAAGGGCTGGTTTACAACTGAGATGGACAAACATACACACTGCAGACATAGAAAGTTTGGGGAACGTCAACTCTACCTTCACTGCCATGATCTGCTCGCTGGGAACGTGCCGCATCTTCTCCACCACCCCGTATGCACCTCGTCCCAGTTCCATTATGGGCTCTAGGTCATCTGCCTTCACCTCAAAGTTCTGCGAGACAGAAAAGTGATAATGCAATAGGCAGAGAAAAATAAACTGAACAGAGACCATGCTGTCCTCTATCTGTTTTCTCCCAATGTTCTAGGGATTATTTCTGGGCCAGAAAATTTTCTAGCACGTCAAAGCAGCCACTGAAAGCAAGAAGCGACAGGAGATACTTAAGCTTCCAAAGGAGGCCACTTGCTTGTCAAAGGCAACACAGAAACCCAACTCCATCTCAGCTTTCCCATGGCTCAGTGGAAGGTTTCTACACTGTAGTTCTTTAGCCATAACCCCTCCATGATGTTTGTAATCCATTACTGACTGGCGGCAACTAGGTTATGTGTGGGCTTTGAGAAATGCACTCCCAAGAGAATCACCTACTCTCCTCAAATACCTTCCATCAGAACCACAATTGCCTAATTTCAATACACCATTCAAAAGAGCAAAAGCTCCATATACCCCTTCCCTTTAAATTGAAGCTTTGTTTTGACTCGTCCCCTGACAGCATGTTAGAGAAAATAAAATTTTCAGAGGTCAATCAGAAAGCCTACATAGAAAATGGCCAAGGTATTAGCTGGCAGATATGATTTTTCTCACCTGATTTCCAATAGAAATGCAAGCCTTGGAGTCTAAATCTCGAGGTGGCCTAGGAAGGACAAGAGGGAAAAGAAGAAACATAAGATATTTAGTCAACTACGTCCTTCCTAAATCACACGTGACTGGAGAGGTTTAAAGTGGAAGTTCATGAGAACTGTAAAGCAGCATAGGAATGTGAATAGTACGAGATTTGAAATGAAATACACTTTGGGTTTAAATTATTTAATCTCTTTTGTCCTCCACTTCTTCTTTAACATGAAGATACTAATATACCTACCTCGTGTAGTAGGAATTAGTATTAAATGAGATAGTCCAAATAAAATACTTAGCAGAATGCTTGGCATATAGTAAACATCTAATAAATATGAGCCATATATATGGAATTATAGATAATTATGCTATAGTAGTAAGTCTCAAACTTCTTTCACCCAAGAGTACCAATATATACAATTATTTCATGACTTTTCCATAATTTTTTTTAAAAAAAGAAATAATACTTGCCCCATGATTCTGTTAACTCATAAAATTCATAGAACATAGGAATTCCAAATCTAGTCCCTTCCTTTATAGAGGGACAAAAGGTCCAGAGAGGTGAAGTGACTTGCACCGGGTCACAACCAACCCTAATTTCCAGCTCAGCATTCCTTCTATTTCACCAGGCTGTCTAACTGAGTCCAGTGATAGTTCTTCCATATATGGTGTACATACTCTTCAGGGGTTTCAGGAACCAGAGGTTTGCTGATCTTGTGTTTCCATAGTCTCCTCGTGTGTCCTTTTCTCTACAACTTCAATGATCTCGCAGTTGGTATTAATCTACTCAAGAGAAAGATGTTTGTCTTTGGCTATGCACCAAACCAGGAGCCTAGAAAGGCATTTTCTTGAAGGAAATGTACCAAAGATATCATGACAAAAGTAACAAATGCCAAGAAACATATGGTTAATATGACCAAACAACTAGAAAAACTAGAGGCTAAAGATAAAGGAATGCTTGTGTTGGCAGAACAGAGGGTGACCAAACAGGTGGAAACTCAAGTCTCTCTGGAGGCACATTCTATCCAGAACTATCTTTGGAAAAATGCAAAGGAAAATGGAAGGAAGAGAGGAAGGAGGGAAGATGAAAAGGAGAGAGAAAAGAATGCTTTGGCAATGACGATTTTTCCCAACTGTAACATATTATGATTCTATCCCTTTTGCTGAAAATAAATACATAAATAAAAGAATAAGGAAGAAATAGGAATATAAATACAGATATGAACATGAATTGGTTAATACCAATTTACTGGTGAGTACATGTGGTGCTTGTTTTTCCATTCTTGAGATACTTCACTTAGTAGAATGGGTTCCAGCTCTATCCAGGAAAATACAAGCGGTGCTATATCACCATTGTTTCTTAAAGCTGAGTAGTACTCCATAGTATATACATATATACCACATTTTATTAATCCACTCATGAATTGATGGGCACTTGGGTTGTTTCCACAACTTTGCAATTGTGAATTGTGCTGCTATAAACATTCGAGTGCAGGTGTCCTCTTCATAAAGTGACTTTTGATCTTTTGGGTAGATGCCCAGTAGTGGAATTGCTGGATCAAACGGTAGATTTACTTATATCACTTTAAGGTATCTCCATATTGCTTTTCACAGAGGTTGGACTAGTTTGCAGTCCCATCAGCAGTGTAGGAGTGTTCCTATCTCTCCGCAACTATGCCAACATTTATTGTTTTGGGACTTGTTAATAAAAGCCATTCTCACTGGAGATAAGTGATATCTCATTGCAGGTATGATTTGCATTTTCCTGATGATTACAGATGTTGAGCATTTTTTCATATGTTTGTTGGCCATTATTCTGTCTTCTTTTGAAAAATTTCTGTTGCCCTTTTTTGTCCTTTGCCCATTTTTTGATAGGGTTGTCCTTTGCCCATTTTTTGATAGGGTTGTTTGATTCCTTGCTGATTGTCCTGAGTTCTAAATAAATTCTAGTTATCAGCCCTTTACCTGATGTGTAGCTTGCAAAAATTTTCTCCCATTCTATAGGTTGTCTGCTCTCTTGACAGTTACTTTAGCTATGCAGAAGCTTTTTAATTCGATCAGGTCCCATTTATTTATTTTTGTGGCTGCTGTGATTGCCTTTGGGGTCTTCTTCATAAATTCTTTGCCCAGGTCAATGTCTAGAAGAGTATTTCCAACGTTTTCCTCTAGAATTCTAATGGCTTCACACCTAAGCAGGAAATTTTTCTTCAGAAAAAGCTTTCTGAAAGAGTCAAATTTTGAAAATTCTAATTTCTCATTCTTAAAATTCCCAAAGCTGTTCTTTTCTTTAGTTGTCACAATTTGTACTAATCGTAATGGCACTTGGAAATGAAGACAAATATGACTTGAAACATACAATATAAACAATAAAACATCCCTTGGAATTATTTAGGACTCTGCCTTTTGAAAAGTATGAAGCAACAAAAAGGTCACTAATTATTTGGGGCTACCTCTGTTTTCTTGCCATCCAATGAGGATAGTGGATGAGATATGCCCATGTAGTAAATACATGGTGCCAAGTGAGCACTCGGGCATGGGGCCAGGGTTTTCTTGGGAAATAGTTCTGCAGTTACCCAAACACATGAACGAATAATCAATGGGCAGTTCCCAGCTCTACACAGCATAGCATTAACAGATTTTCACTGAGAATCAAGGTTGGTCTGGAGCACGTGGAAGGGCTTTATGAACAACCCATTTCTATACTAATGCAGGGTGATGCCATTGCCATTATTTTTATTATAACCATTATTCTCTTGGAGACTGGCTGGAATTTACCAAATCATTTTGCTTCTCCTGCTTCCTTGTACACCATATAAAAATATTTTCAAATGAGGTTTATTATTATTAACATAGTATCAAAGTCAAGAATGAAAAATATTAAGAAGGGCAGGATTAGGATGCTTCTTAAATTATTTCCATAGTTATTGTTTGCCTTCTAGTAATATTTGCTTTAAGTAATTTGTGGAAATAACTGAGCAAATATATGAACAATTAATTCTTCATTGTAAGCTGTCATGTTCTATTTTTTTCTATAGAATTAACCGTATTGAGACTTTCAGTTAACCGTTTGGAAGTAATAGTCTATAAAATGTTCATGCTCTCAGACATCATAGGGAATACATTCTAGTTAGAAAAGAGTATATATATTTATTAATGCAAAAAAAAATCTCTTCCAGGTCTAATATTGTTGTATTCTATATACCAGGGCTTGGCAAATTATAGCCTATGATCCAACTAAGAATGACTTTTATAAGTTTAAATGGGCCGGGCGCGGTGGCTCACGCCTGTAATCCTAGCACTCTGGGAGACTGAGGCGGGTGGATTGCTGGAGGTCAGGAGTTCGAAACCAGCCTGAGCAAGAGCAAGAGCAAGACCCCGTCTCTACTATAAATAGAAAGAAATTAATTGGACAACTAATATATATAGAAAAAATTAGCCGGGCATGGTGGCGCATGCCTGTAGTCCCAGCTACTCGGGAGGCTGAGGCAGAAGGATCGCTGGAGCCCAGGAGTTTGAGGTTGCTGTGAGCTAGGCTGATGCTACGGCACTCACTCTAGTCTGGGCAACAAAGCAAGACTCTGTCTCAAAAAAAAAAAAAAATAGTTTAAATGGTTGTAATACATAAACCAAGAATATCCAACAGAAGCCATTGTGGCCCATGTAGCCTAAAATATTTACTATCTGGCCTTTTATGAAAAAAGTTTGCTGACTTCTGCTCTATACTAACCTTGCACTACACCTCAACCAAAGGGTTTGGTGCCATTTTCCAGATTAAGAAGAATGAAACCCAGTAAAGCTTGGTGATTTTCTGAAGCTATCCAGTCATTGACAGAGCTGAAAATAAAACTCACATCCCTTTGAATCTCCGTCTTAAGCTATCTCAGTCTTAATAAGGAGGAGAAAGTGTAAGAGGAGAAGAAAATATGAAAACTGGGCTAAGAGCTTTACTCCCAGCATTCCCATTCAAGTCTGACGGAATACAAGGAACCTGTTCCCAATACCCAGACCTCCTCCCATGAAAATGATCAATTCACCCACGCCTCAGGCCTCTGGGCTCACTACATCTGCCAAAAGCATCAAATGATGGGGCCAACACTGACAGATCGGATTGGATTAGTTGACACTGTGTTCTGCCCACAGCTGGGCATATTAGTTTGCCTGGGACACTGTGACTCTGCAGGAAGTTTATACTGTGGGTGGATGTTCTCTGTCATTTATTCAATATCTTAGTCCTCTGTGGAAAGAACCAAGCTTATTACAAAATTCCTCCCATGAAAGACCAAAGGCATTCCAAAGGTCACCTAGTATTAGTTTTTCATATGAACAGCCAGCTTTTATTACAACAATTATTTATTTATAATTCTGTATGACTAATCAGTTCACTGGTTATTATTCCAATTATTATTCATTTATTCAAAAATATTTATTAAGCACCTATCTGGGCCAGAGATTGTGCTAGACCATTTACAAAAAATAGCTTCTTTAGTTTTTATAACTCTTAGAGGTCTTATCATCTCTGTTTCACTGGGAAGACCTGACATGGAATGAGAATAAATAATTTAAGAACTTTCAAAAGAGATGATGAGATTCGAACCCACAGCTGTACCATGATGACTTCTCAACTACAAAAGTAAAGGATCCTACCTCTCATTTCACTAGCCATGAACTGTTAGATCACAATCTCAACCAGGCTAATGTGTGGCTAAGAGCTTATAATTGAGGGTCGGAGATCCCTGAGTTTGTAAGGCAGCTCTTCCAGTTAGAAACGATGCAATAACATCAACTTGGAGCTACCTTTCATTGAGCAATTACAATGCCCTGGGCACTAGGTGGACACTTAATATGGATTATGAGATCTAATCCTCTCAAACAACCACATCACAGTTACTGTCTTGTAGAAGGGGAAACTAAGGCTTGGTGTAGTTAGGTGTCTTGCCTAAGCAACTAGTGAAGTTTAGAACCCAAATATAAACCTAGGCATTCTGGCTTCAGAGGCTGAACCTTACCCATGAAGCTATGCTCAACGACTTTGAGCAAAGCACCTGACCCTTGCAGAGTTCTGTTTTTTCATGTCATGTGAGAGTAATAAAAGCTGCCTCCTGAGTTTCTTGTAGTGATTAAACAAAATAATATTAACTACCATAGAGTTGATTTAGGATTAGTTACCATCAGTCAAGTAAGGAGACAGCTCAGAAACCTGAGTCAAAGACACGTTGGCATTGGTAAAGCAAAGAAAGCACTCCAGCACAGGGACCACACACCTTGAACTTGGGAGAATGGAGGTCTGTCCCAGGCTGTTTATTTGTGCATAGCACAGCAGAAGAAGGCAGGGTATAAATGGTAAGAATCACCAGGCCAACCTCAAAAAAATTGCCAACAAAAACACAAAATGTGGAAGCTACTTATTTAGGAGTACAAATTTAAGCCTTGGTATTAAAATAAGAAGAAGACTCTTTGAGCTGAAGTGGTATGCTCTACAATATTGAAGTGATGCTTTTGGCTTCACATAATGTAACATAAAAGTATATTCAAAGGATATTCCAGCACATTAGGGTAAGACAAAATAGAAACTATTTTCATCCTTATGTTGGTTTTTATTCAGTTGTTTATCCTAAGCAAGAATTTATGGTGGCTTTAAAAAATTCATAAAATAGAGAAAATTAACATAAATTAGTAAAAGGTAAAGAATAAAAATTTTAGGGGGAAAGAATATAAGATGGTTGGCGGGTTGATATAAAAATATATCCCAAAGGAGGCTGGGCACAGTGGCTCACATTTGTAATCCCAGAGCTTTGGGAGGCTAACCTGGGAGGATTGCTTGAGCCCAGGAGTTCAAAACCAACCTGGGCAACACAGCAAGACCCCATCTCTAAAAAAAAAAAAAAAAATATATATATATATATGTATATATACATGTGTAAAAATATGTATCAAAGGAAATAATAAAAATAAGAGCAGAAAGTAATACAATTGAAAACAGCAAAAAGCAAAACAATAAAACAATGCTGGTTCTTCAAAAATATTCAACAAAATTCAGAGAAATGGAGACTTATTTTCATGAAGGAACTTATATACGTACATTCATAATGGCTTTATTAGTAATATAGCCCCAAACTGAAAACTACCCACATCTCCATCAAAAACTAAAGTGTTAAACAAACTGTGGTATAACCATATCATGAAACAGTACTCAGCAATAAAATAGAACCAACTGTTAATACATGCAATAACTTGAATGAACCTCAAGGAAATTATGCTGAAAAACAACAACAACAAAATCTCAAAAAGCGGTTTATTCAATAATCATGAAATAACAAGATGGTAATTGAGAACAGATTAGTGGTGTCTGCAGATTAGGCATGGGGATGAGGAGAAGAGGTGCATGTGACTAAGACAGGGTACCATTAAACAGTTGCTACAGTTAGTTGAGTATCTTGATTACCATAGTGATTATGCAAGGCTACATATGTGATAAACTGCATAGACCAACACACACACACACAGAAGCGCACGCGTGCACACACACACACACACACAAATGACTATAGAACTGGTGAAATTGAAAAGTTCTATGGCTTGCACCAATGCTGCTTTCTTAATTTTGATAACGTACTATAGTCATGTGAGATAACATGAGGGTGGGGTTGGAGTTTGGTGTGGGATGGCGAAAGGGTACATGGGAGTGCCCTGTACATTTCTATGCAACCTCCTACGAATCTATAATTATTTCAAAATAAAAATTTTAAAAGAACAGCCCATAAAATCCAATGCAGGTAGTTCAAGTAGGCCATATATTTGACTGTAAGCTTTCAAGAAACCATCAGAGAGGAAAAAATAGTAATTATACAGTTCACAGGTCCACAGATTTAAAAAAACAAAAACAAAAAAACAAAAACCAATTGCACAGAAAGACCAAAAAAAGAAAAAGAAAAAAACTATCTTGCTAGTAAGTATGGGAAGAACTTCCTCCTGCAGATCCTCATAAAAGGAATATTCTAACTTGAGTTTAACCCCTTGAGCTATAGTTCAGAATGCTAAAGAGGGGTCCTCTACTGTGTTCTTTCCTTGGAAGTTCTTCAGTGGAAAGTTTTTTCATACTTGCTGTATGGAATGCAAGGATCAATGGCCTTAGCCAAGTCTCACGGTAGTCATAATCATTTTTCAGAGCATGCCCAACTGTAGAGGGTGTGCTTTCTGATGGGATAGATCACAGCCAAAATCAGAGGCACTTTTGTAGACATGAGCAAAAGCCTTAAATACTCAAGCTTCCATTGAGATGTCTTCTTTTTGCACTTAATCTGTCTCTGAGTACCTCTATTGTGATTTATTTCCTTGGAATGTCCATTCCTCCCATGCAGATGCTTTGGTAGGCGATCATACTTCCAGCTGGACAGGAAGTACCCTCCCCACCACACAAAGAGACAAAAAAAAAAAAAAGGAGGCTCATAGAGGGGGTGTCTTTTACTAGTACTTGAGCTAACTTGTGGATGTATGCCCAAACTTCAGCTAATAAAGAAGTGTTCCTTTACCTCATTTTGCTTTCGGTTTACATGGGACAGTATTTAGGTGTCAGGATGTGGGTGCTCACCAAATACCATCTTTCCATCTCAACCCAAGTTTTATATAATAGCAGTGACTCTCACAGGGATTTATTTGTTTGCTCAAATCTACAGGAAAAAGGCAAGGAGGTCCACAGCCACGGACCTTTCTGGGCTTACACAGAACTCCATCTGCCAAATGCATGTGTCATTCAATTCTTCCTCAACCAATAATCTGAGACACTTGAGTTCAAAACTACCCATTCAACACAGACGAAGTATCAGCATTTCATATCTCAGAACAGTAAGCAAACAACATCCTATTTAAAGGGCTGGCTCTTCTGATAACTATTTCCAAAGTCGAGGCACTGCTCACAAGTCCGAAAATGAACTCCCATTTGAAATCCATGTTTGGATTAAGATGATGATCTTGCCAACTTACGTGGAACTGGTCTGGGGTTGTTCAAATGCTTCTTTTGGAATTTTAAGGCCAGGGTTTCGCTTCTTGCCTATGGAGAAAGATGTAAGGACAAAGTTAAGCTCTAAATCACAGTGAGAAAGCAAGGGCAGAGACTGCAGCAGAGAAAAAGAGCTGACCTAGGCAGGCAGCTCTCATCTCCCGAGTCCAGAACACCATTTCCTACCCAGGAAGTCCGTGGTCATGAATGAGGTTTTTCATTAGCCCAGGGTGAAAATGTCAGGAGAAGAATGCCAGCTGTCTTTTCCTAGGAAGACATACCCTTTCTCCCTACTGAGAGTTTGTCATTCCAACTTCTTTGTTTTCTTCTTTTACACAATAATGATGATGGCATCAATGCTGATTACAGCTTTATTTCTTTCTTTTTTAATGTCAGTAAAATGTAGTCACCCTTATCTCAGTATCCCACAATTTTCTAAATTGGTCTGTGAACAACTGCTACAGTTAGTAATGGAAGTAAAGTAAAAAGAAAATTTTTTCTACTGTTCTCTCCTGCCCTTTCCTTAACCACCTACCGTAAGTTGAAAACCCTAAGAGAGGTATACGGTAATATTTATTTATATGTGCCCTGTTCCAAAAAGGATTAAGATAACAGATGGATTTATGCAAGGAGGTTATCACTTCTTTTAAGGCCAGATGGGAATATAACCTGGTGTTGTTCATTCCTGGGCTGAAACTACAAGAGAATTTGGCTCAAATACCTTTGTTGATGAGTAAAAAAGAACAGACTGAGAAATGCCAGCTCAGGAAGCAGATCAGAGCAGACAGACTTGTAAGGGCCTGAGATTTCCCTCATCTACGGAGATCCTGTGTCTTTTGGCGTTGGGCAGGGGAAATCAAAGCAGAGCTGAATAGAATGCCTAAAAAGAATGCTACCTTCTCACTTCTTCTCTGCATTGCAGGGGAGCACTTCAGAGAGTACACAAACCCTAGATAAGGCCCTGGATAAATCCTGAAGCTACAGAAATATCTGAAAAATCAAATAAACTCCTAGAAGGAAGATGACATACAAGGACTTTGGTGATTCGTTCAACATCACTGAGCCAGCAATGACCCAATCAGAATCAGAATCTGAGTCTCTTGACCCCCAGGTTGAAGTTCTTTCCACTATTCCACAATGGAGGAAATTTAGAGATGACCACAGAGGGAATGGGGTGGAGGGAATACAGGACTTTGAGTTTTAAAATAATAAGCCTGCATCTGGTTCTTCCATTCACCAAGCAACCTTTGGAATCACTTTTCACCTGACTCTTGCTTTTCTCAACTGTAAAATGGATAATTAACATCAATACCACCTCAGTGGACTGAGTTGGGAATCAGAGCAGATAATGTATATGAAAGAACATTGAGATACCTTAAGTAACTGTTAAGTAGAATCATATAGAAAAACAATCTGCACAGTTTCATTTTTTTAAAACGCAATTTAAGAAATTCATGAACAGAATTGGCCATATTGTCAGAGCCCAGTGTAACGTATAAGGGGGTCTTTTCTTTCTATTTCTTCAAAATCTAAAATCTAGAGTAATTCTGCCAAGTTGTATAAAGACAGGAAAAAAGTAATCAACATAAAGAAAGCTTTTTAGGATCACCTTCATTCTGGCAGGCTTTCCCAATTCTTTCCTCCTTTGGGCTTACCTATGTATTTCATAAGGTTCAAAACGCACTACTCACTTTCCTGCCCTTGGGGCTCATATGACCGTTCAGCACGTTACTAAGTTAACTCATTTTTGCCAATACATGGAGTTTTACTATGTACCAAGACCTATGTTAGGTGCTATACCCAACTATGAGGATCCAAATAGAGATATGGCTTAATTCCAGCAACTCCCATTCATGGACTTCAGTCAAATAGCCTAGGGAATGCTACTTTAAACAAAATAGTCCAGTGAGGAATGAATGACAGATTCAACTTGTTCAGATAAGTCCATACACATTCCCAGTGCAGTACAGGTGACAGGTAATTCAGGTAATCCCAACAGATGCAATCCTAATCGTTCTCACCAATAAAACAAGACAAAACTGAAGGAAAATATATTTTGCCTGTGAGAAAAGGTCCTCAGTTGCCATTTAAGCAAACCAAAAACAGAAATTACTCTTAAATTCTTACATTTCTCTCTTCTTTATTTCAAACTCAGTTCTTACAAGATAGATGTACAGAGAAATAGCTATTTATTGAGGAAATCTCCTTTGAAAAACCTTAACATAGCAATTGATTAGTGGCAATTCTTAATAGCAATTAACTATTACACTACAAGCCAAGAAATTAACAGAAGGTCTATACAAAGAAATAGGAGAGAGAAAGAGAAAGAGAGAGAGAGAGAACCTTTTGGTACAGAAACCCAAAGAATAAAAGACAATAATAAAGTCTCCCAAGCAGAAGACCCTTGGTTCTCTCCCCTCATCACCTTTATACTCAGCCTTCTACAACCATATCAAGATCACTCTAACCCCAAATTTGCTGCCTACTGGGTGAAATTACCTACCTCTTACCTTCAGACTCCAGACCCCCCTGACTACGTACAAATTGGAGATTTGCATAGTCTCCAAAGTTTCCTTAAACCTACAGCAACAAGAAAAAACGGTTCCAGAAGACACAAAAAACCTAGTAGAATTACACTGTTAGAAAATGCACTGCCTTCGCTTTAAGAAGTAGCTCGAATAAAACAGAAATCACAAGCACACCCGCCAACATTCCATAATTCACTTACTTGCCCATCTCTGACAGCGCAGCACAGCAAGAAGCCAGCAGAGGCGACTCTGATGAGGTTTTCAAGGCTGCAGGGAAGGCCAGCAGAAGAAAACCCCACAGAAGTCATTCTTTGCTTAGCTCCACAGACCACACTTCAACAGGGAGAAACAGAGCTGAGCAGACTCCACCCCCTCCTCAAGTTCAGACTGCAGCAAACCTCTGCAGATTCATTGTTCCCAGGGAAACTGCGGCTTCAGGAAGGGAGTAGGGAAGTGGGTCCATTTGGACACCCAGGCAGGCGTGACATTAATCATTAACCAGACTTGGAGGAATAAATCTATAAAGTAATTCTGGACAGCACAGTGTTCTCCGGCCTTTCTATAAATGCCTCTTTCATTTCTTAAAAGAAAGAAAAACAATACGTGGTAAGTTTCCAGCTGTGTTTATTTCAAAGCAATCTGTTCCCCCTAGGAAGGCTGCCAACACCTGACGCTGACACTGAACACTGTGTTTAAAGAAAAAAATTAATGGGAGGGAGCAATATGAATAATAAAGCTAAGCGGCCAACTCTGTTAAACGGTCTTTTCCCTTGATACTCTAAAGAAAAAAAAGTCAGAAGATAGGCTCTATATGATGTCACATGCTAGCAACAAACCTTCTCAGAAAGATGGAATTCTGTATATTTCTGCAGATCTCAACAAGCCTTGCCCTCTTCTTGGTACAGTCTGCAAAAGTAAGCCTCGATGGCCTGATTGGGCACATGCAGCACTATATTGCATCAGCCCATGTCACACCCATGCCTGTGTTCTCTGAAAATACTGTAGTCCCACCACACACATGTATTTGCAAAATTTATCTTAAACCAAAGCTGGGTCGTTAGAATCCTGGCCTGGAGCAAAATTGGTACTGGAAAAAAAAAAAAAGAAATCCTTGCCAAGAGTTAGAAAATATTTACCAGGCCACAGAAATGTTCACTAGCTTTGACCGTACCAAAAATGATGGGGTACACAAGAGGTCTTACTCAGCACCCACTTGCAGAGGGTGAGCACAAAGGGCTTCTCTGATGTTCCTTATTACATAAAACAGAAGACCGTGTTCTGGTGCCAACTGAAACAGCACGAGAAGCCCACACGGTCAACAGAAGGTGGCATCGTGAGGACATGCTGATGCCTAAATATTTGTCAGCTTGGCTGAGAGTTGGGGGGCATGATTATGAGGGTTTATGATTACTGACACAGCTTCACAAAGGATGGCAGTGCTTCCAGTGCCAAATTTGTTTTAAAAATCTGTTTCCCAATATGAATGGGATTTCCAGCCAAGTAACTGGCAACCTGGAGGCCTTGGCTGCCCTCTCCTTACTACTTGCATCTAGGCTTGAGTTCCAAGGCTAGTTGGCAATAAAATCAGCAGAGAATTGTCATTTGATGTTATTAAATTGCAATGATCACATGCAAAGCAACTAATGGAGCACGGCAAAGGAAGGGGAGAGCAGGGAGAAAGCAGGCTTTATGACAGTGATATGAAAGTGGACAGGGACCATTCCATCCCCCAAACCACTGGAACTCATACACCACTGAGACTCCAAGCAGCAGGATACATTTCTTTGGAATTACATAAAGTTTAAGGAAGAAAAGCTGAAGAGCTCATTTTATTTTATTATTTATTTATTTATTTGACATAAGAGATTACTTTATCTGAATGACCAAGACTGACTATATAGTATGTAATCAAAGTTAAATGAATTCTGTAGCCATTGACTTTGGAAGCCTAATAAAAATATATTACGCAGTTTATATACACAAAAATTTACTAGTTTCTAAATGGCAAGATGAGTCCTGCCAAATTTTATTTCTTAATTTCAGAATATTATGGAGGCACAAATATTTTGATTACATGTTTTGCTTTTGCATAGTTTGAGTCAAAGTTGTAAGTGTGCCCATCACCAGAGTAGCATGCATGAGAAGAGCTCATTTTAAAACTGGCATTCACTTTGATTTCAAGGAGTCAGAATGAATCTCCAAGGACCTCACCTCTCCCCGTACATAAACTTCCCATTATGTCCCCTTCCTGAACATAAAGTGACCACCTCTCAGTCAGAGTGTAACCTTCTGGAACTAGTGCCTTCTGCCAGGAGAGCTCCAGCCCTCTTGTGGACGAGAACTCAGACTTCCAGATTCAGAACCTTCCCAGACCTTCCTGAGCACAGTCTAAGGATCGCTGTCAGCACATCTCTGCTTTCACATTCCAGCATTTCACACAAGGGCTGGAATACAACATGAGCTCAAAGCAATTGTGCCGAAACTGTGATATTTCAGCTTAAAATGTCCACTCTCTTTAAAATAGATCTCCATGACCATCTTGGATTTATTTTCCTCATACCTTTTCTCACAATCTATAATTACTTTATTTTTTGTGTTTACTGGTTTTTGCATTTATTTATTACTTGTTTATTATCTATCTTCCCCACTAGAATGTAAGTTCCATCATGGCAATGATTTTGCCCAGAGCTTGCACATTGTATATCTACTGACTGGAAATTTGCTGTTCTTTTCTCAACTGTTTTGTACATTCGTATTGAAATCTTCAAACAAACAAACAAAAAGAACAACCAAGAATGGAGGGGAAGGTTAGGTGTGTGGCTCATGCCTGTAATCCTAACACTCTGGGAGGCCAAGGTAGGTGGATTGCTCAAGGTCAGGAGTTCAAAACCAGCCTGAGCAAGACGGAGACCCTGTCTCTACTAAAAGTAGAAAGAAATTAATTGGCCAACTAAAAATATATATAGAAAAAATTAGCTGGGCATGGTGGCACATGCCTGTAGTCCCAGCTACTCAGGAGGCTGAGACAGGAGGATCCTTGAGCCCAGGAGTTTGAGGTTGCCGTGAGCTAAGCTGACACCATGGTACTCTAGCCCGGGCAACAAAGTGAGACTCTGTTTAAAAAAAAAAAGAATAGAGGGGAAATAGCACAAATTTTAAGCATCAATAAGATGCTATTTCAAATATCAGCTGTGCCACTTAAGGAAGTGACCTTGAGAACATTTCATATCTTAAACTAAGTTTCCACACCTGCAAACTGGAGATGATGTACAATCTCCCCAGGTCATTGAGAAACTCAATTAACCCAATGTATGTTAAGAAGTCTGGCTATGTCTGGCATAATATAGGTGCTCAATAAATACTTTTTCTCTTTTCCATGTTCGTGCTTATGTTTTTAAAATGTGAGCTCAATGGAATGTCCCCTTTATGGGCATGTGGGCATCTTATTTCTTTAAATGTTGCCCTCTGTTCTTTTGTGTTATTTATGCTAAAATTACATTTTTCAAACATTTCATCAATCTTGAACCATACTCTCTATTCCCACTGACTATGGGAACTTATCCAGGTCTATAGACTCAGGAGTTCTGGGAGTGAGTATAGTGAGTGCTTATAATTGTATGTTGTCTCAGCATCCATTTTTAAGTATAAGTTAAATGTTCTCATACCAGAAGCAGGGCTCAGCCGCCCTTGACACAGTTTCCAATACCATACCCCATTGGAATGGCTCCAGCTGGTAGTCAGAGATAACACTTAGTGGTATCTCTCCTGCTTAGCAGGCTGAGCTCCCTGCTTTCCTGCCACTGCCTTTAAACTGACCATGCAGACATTTGCTCCTGAAAATAAAGTGACCACCTCTCAGTCAGAGTGTAACCTTCTGGAACTAGTGACTGCTTGCTTTAAGCCCAATTAAAGCTCCCCACAGGAAATTTGTTTGGATAACACCCTGTACCTAATAAAGGCATTGGGCCATGGGTTCTCTCTCTCTCTCTCTCTCTCTCTCTCTCTCTCTCTCTCTCTCTCTCTCTTTCTCCCTGTGCTCCCTGACTTGTGTGTGTGTGTGTGTGTGTGTGTGTGTGTGTCATTTCCAGTTGTTCTAGGTGCCAGGGTCTGTAAGCACTAAAAACCCTTAAAATTTCACATTTTTCACATTGTGTTTGTGTCATTGTAGCCACACCTGCAATCCGACCCCTGCTGGTGAAACCACCCAAAAAGGACCTTGCAGGTGGATACTCTGTTGGTGCATTTTTATCCCAGCCCCTCAGCTGCTGGGGACAGCAATTACCAACTAAACTGACAGAGTTGCATTCAAAACAGAGGCTTTGGATAGTCAGGGCGCAGTGGCTTGTGCCTGTAATCTTAGCACTCTGGGAGGCCGAGGCAGGAGGACTGCTTGAGCTCAGAAGTTAGAAACCAGCCTGAGCAAGAGCAAGACCCCATCCCTACAAAAAAAAGAGAGACAGAGACTTTGGGATCTGTACTTTAAAAAAAAAAAGTTTCACAAGTGGCTGATCCTAGCCAGGATCACAAGTTTCTTGATCCTAGCCAGGATCAAGAAACTCCTTGTCTGTTATATGTCTAGGTAAAGTTTTTCTTTTTCCACCATTTCTCACTTTATGTTAACAAGTATACTTTCTCCCCAGGTTGCTGTCACTTCCCACACAACTGACCAGTTTTTTCTGGCTAGTAAGAATTTAATTACAAATTAAGTTCCTCACTGAGGTACCTTTATCTTTCAGCTGCAAATGTCAATAATTCACCAAAGACACTGCATGAAACAAAGTTCAGTAAAATGCAAATTCTGCCTTCAAAGAGTCAGAGGATATAAAAACCCAATTCCTATTAATATAATTAGTAACAGGGAGTGTGTGTGGTGGACAATACATGCATTGTACCCTGAAAGCAGGACTCAAGAAATTAGGCAAGGGACACTAAAAATGGTCTCACAGAGGAGGTAGTATTTTAGGTGGTCCTTTGATAATTGGTAGGATTTGGGGGTACATGAGGCTTCATTATACTATATTTCTTTGTACATATTTAAATGTCTCCAAAATAAAAAAGTTCAAAAAACTAATGGGTAGGATTTTGACAATCAGGACTTGGAAAGCCACAGCAGATTCCAAGTAAAATGAAGATATGCTACCAATGGTGTGGAGAGGCACTGTGGTATATTAATAAAATTTTGAGTTCTCTTCTTTGGACAAAGTAAAAGGTGGTAGAGAGAGAAGCTAGGAAAGGTAGTTTGGAGTCAGTGACTGAAAGACTGTAACTAATACATTTTAAATTTCAGATTTAAGAAGAGAAGTCACCTATGTTTTCAGTGGAGAAGTGTCATGTCATATCTATTAATTATAATGTTTCAGCAAAAAATAATGTCACAAGATTAATAATGTAATAAGATATCAGTAATAGCTGCAGGATATTTTGAAACTGTGGTACATACACATACACGCACGCACACACACACACACACACACACCCTGCACATATACTACATGCCTCGATGTTTTAAGCCTCCAGGACTTTGTTGTATTTCCCCTGGAATGTCCTTATTATCTTTCTTCCCTATCAACTTCAACAGTCAGCTCAAGCAAGTTCTTCTCCAGGAAGCCTTCCACAAAAGCCCTGAA